CTCATTAATAGAATAACCAGTTATTCTAAGATTAAACAATTTTCAAACTTATTGATTAATGTTCTACTGATATTTATCTCTATTCAATAAACACACTGTGCAGTCAGAAATGATGGGTGAAGCTCACGTCACAGGGTATTTTGTCAATGTTTACAAATAATTTCGGGTAAACTTCAAACAGTAGATGTACTACTATTTCATATATTATACAAACTTAATTGTAAAAATAAGGGAAACTGTTTAAAAATGAAATTTTTTTGTAAAATGAGAATGTTTTAACAGCTTTCAATAAATTTTTATAGAAATCACTGTTTGTTGTCATATTGTTAAATCCTAAGAAACGAGATCCAGTATAAATGTATACTGATTAGTGAATAAAAAAACAATTGCAATTTATTTTTCATTGAAAAAACATTATTTTATTTATAACTGTTAACTGCTTTAAAATTACTGATTCATATTTGAATTATTAAAAGGTGTCTTCACTTTCGTTTCTCAAAACAGTTTAATTAATTGTAAAATACGATTAGCAGTTTTAATCAATAGGAGTGTATGCATAATTGTAAATAATTTATGAAGTTATATCATACTTTTAAATATCAAACAAAATGTGGAAGTATTACCCGTCTCTTCTAGAATCACACGCCTGAATATTTATTATCTTCACATTTTATTAAAATGTATCTTACTTAACACCCATAGTCTTACTTGGTTTAAGTTGAAATTAACTCAATGCATTCCCATGAACTCTAAAAATTATGAACATTTTATATATTGGGTACATAATTGAATATATAGAAGTGTTCAGAGTTTTAAATTCTATAAGCTGTTGTTACTTATTTGTGTGAATGAAATATAGTCACTATTGCAAAACAACATATTCATCCAAATGTGATATTCTTGTTACGAATAGTTACGCAATTTAGAATGATTAGAAAAGCTTGATAAGTTATTTATTTTCAAAAATACATAATTTTTTAACTCTAAGCAAGAAGAGCAGAAGATATTCAAATTTTAATTTCTAAATTTATTATCAAAAGAAAAAAGGACAAAATGATAAATGGTTTTACAATTAAATTTTTACAAAAAAGTGACCTCGTTTTCATAGATAAAATCAAATTAAATCATCAAAAAAGTAAAATATTATTTAGAGAAAAAACACATCTCTTAGATACTTCTACAAACGCTTCAAACATGAGAGGCAACTGTATTCTATCCGGCAAGTGTGTATTTTTGGGAAACTATAGATGTTTGAGCCACAATGTTATACATATATATGTATATATATATATATATATATATATATATATATATATATATATATATATATATATATATATTCGAGATAATTTCATTGCAAATACAGATATGACCGCTTTTCTCAGTTATTAAGAATTCGAAAGCAAAATACAAGTGAACAGTTATAAGTTAAAAAGATGGGATGTTAGCTGATTTCAATATGTTTTAATATTGACTAAAACACCTGAACGTTTACATTTCTACCTCATATTAAAATTAATAGTTAGTTTGTTATCTGCAAATTTTACCAAAGAGCTTGTAAAATCCATCAACTGCAAACAATATTTTGCACAATCAAAAATTAGTAATTGACAAACAAGTATAACATTGCATCAGAAAAACATGTATCAGAAGTTGTCTAAGAAACTGAGAAAAATATCTTAATTGAATTCTGTATTGAAAGATAATTGTATTTGAAATAAAAAATATTTAAATTTTTGATAATTTTTCACGTCACATCAGAGAAGCTGATAATTATTGATTCACATAAAACTACATAATGTGATTACAGGAAAATACTTAACGCTTATACAACTATTAAAAGAAAACATCTGATCGATATAATTTGCATGAAATGAATACATGTGGATTATATACTTGACCAACTTAACTTTCATTACTCCAATAACATGGCAATGATAATTTTCAGTCTTTTTATTGATTAATTGCATAAAAAAATAGTTTTGTCTATAAAATCGAACGATGTCTCATAATCAAATGTCTAATTTTAATAAATTGATAACAATGTTATCAGTTTTGTTTCTTCTCTTTTCTGTGTCAATTAAGTAAACAATTTATTTCCGAATACAGTGATAATATATTTTGTTTCATCAATGTATGTATGTTCGTTTTTACATCGAAATACATGTGAAAGTATTGATTTTACTTCGAGTTACCACCAAAGGTGTATTGATAGTTGGCACTAGTTAACTAGGCGTACTTGTTATCTTGAACAAAACTGAAACGTTTTTATGAAATCGGCTTTAAGGTTTAAAATGTTAAAAGTAAGCTATTCAGCATACCACAAACTTCCTGTGTGTAAGAGTTATTTACAATTGATTGGTTTGTAATTAGTGATTATTGTCTTTCAGACTAAAGGTTATAAATCACTTTATCAATAATAGTATTAGGAAAATATGTTACTACTCCTTTCTGAGTGTTCAATCATTTGTATATTACTATGAATAACTGACAGTAATGTTTTATAGTTTATGGTTTAGATCTTAGTTGTCACTTCTTGAGTGATGTAATACATTAATATTATAAGTTATCAGTTTCATTGAATGCACCACTGAGATTCGACAGACATACTAAGACTGAATAATGATAATTGTACTACACATGCAAGCTAGTTCATTGAAAAGTATATTTACATTAATTTTACGAAGTAAATAACCGTAGCAGTCAATGTTAGTAATCACAAAAAACTGAAGATTTTCTTAGTAATCAAAATTCTGAATAATGCTATGATGACACCAGTTAGCATTTTAAGATATTGGTACTGTGTTGTGGAAAATTAACGCATTGATTTGTAATACATGAGTATTGATCTTGAGCTGGCGTGTTTCTGTTTATTTAAAATTGATATTTTTAAATCAAAATTATATTTACTTTAACAAGGTACATAACTTCCGTTCACATTTTCAGTGACATTAAAATCTGTAAGGTGGCTGAACAGTATTCATAAACTTAGTGGTTTAAAAATACTACTGACTATAAAATTTTTATTGACATCGTCTAGTCAGGATAAAATTATGTATATACCTAGATAATACAAAATCGAATTAAACAACTTTGCTATGGTGAACTGTGATAGTGGTTTATGATTGTAATAATTTTCAAACGGTTAGCCTTATATTAGAATCTGTTCTAATACAAAGCAAGCTAGTTGTACAATGCTGAGACTGTCACAGAAATCTATGCTATTAATATCGTGAAAATGTGTTAATTTGTATTCAGACTACGTAGACACGTATGCAGGTAAAAGTTTGTTTTAACGTTGTTCACCTAATGCTTTTATGAAAAATAAAACTTACTAGTTATAAATTCACTTTGTCGATTCATGATTGTCAAACAAACTAATAAGACGTTGCATTAAAAACACTGAAAACAGTTTGTTATAATTGTCAAACCAAACTTTCACTTTTGTATGATTTGCGATAATATTTTGTCATTGAAAAATTGTTTTAACTAATCCATTTAATTAATGATTAACTTTGTTTGCAGATTCAATAGATGAAAAAGGACAGTCATTGCAATTTGAGTAGTTTGACATTCATTAAAACTGTCTTACTGGCCTCAACTATAACTGGTAACGTGAATTTTCAACAAAAATTTGACCACATACACTCATTTATGTTACTTCATTGAGTTTATGTTAAATTTTATTTCAAACTCCTGTTGTTATTTCGCGAATTGTAGTCACAAAATTATCCTGTTTAAAATTTATTTTTATCATTGTTATTTTGATTATTGCAGTCTAATAAACTTGAAAACATAAATATTCATTTCAGTGCTTTGGAAAACCAAGCTACCATTTTCTGATCATAATATTAACAATGACAATTGTAACTCAATTGAAAATTGAAATACCTGAATAGAAATTTTATTTCACACACACTTTTACCTAAATTTATAGACGGCGTAACTTAGTATTTATCGGTTAAATAAAAAAGCATTATTGAACACGTTCTTATGTAGACACAATTCTTTGAAGCATAAAATGTGCGATGCATACAAACTCTATTTTTATTTAATTTATTTATTTTGATAGATGAGAGAACAAAATGAAGTAGTCCGGGAAACTACTGATAAAGTGGTGGTACTATGTTTGCTATCTAAGCAGAATGAAAAGAATAAAATACTATCTACAAGTAGGCGAAAAATAACATACTACTGAAATAAATAAACTGTTGTATAGTAATACATTCGGAGTGATTTATTTATTGATGAGGAATGAAGGAGGCATACTTTCTGTTCGGAATGTTCAGTATATCAGTAAGTTGTGAATAGTTGATTTCACCACTAATCATATAATTTTTGAGATTTGATGTTATCTTGTATTGTTAGCTGCGCTACTGCATTCATCGTCTCTCTTTATGTTCAAGAATATTTTTATTTTTACGTAATAACGTGATCTCTCTGTGTGCTGACGAAGACTACAAAAAATTTGTTTTGACACACAACTGCATCTGTTTGTTTGCACGATCCGCTCAATTTATTATAGCATAAATCAGTCAACACGATCAACAATATTGTCTACATTCTCAAGTAAGCAAATATAGGGGTGTATAATTTAATTAGAACTTCGAAAAATCTTTAATACTGATTTTGGCAATATTTATCATAGTGAAAAATGTTACGATTGTTTAGATTTGAATGTTATCTAGTAAATTTATGGCGAATTATTAACTGTTATTTAAATACTTTTTCGTAGTCTGATCAATCTAGTTTTACTAGGATACTATTTGAAGACGAATGAGGAATGACTGAATAGTCAATTTCATTGATATTGATAAATATTTTCATGATATATGTAACAGTAAACTTATAGCAATCATTTTTAAGTTCATGATTACTTCCCTAACTGTTTACAATACTAAACACTGTGAACAGATGCTTAAATGAATACCTTGACCATGTCAAGATTTAAACATTTGAAAGTAAACATGAGATTCGAGTTACAGATGTATTTTACTTACCTCACCAAATCATCAGAAGATACACGGCTATCTGCGATATTCGGTGAAGGTTGACAGGATAATGATGTTTGCGTTCGGCAAACTGGTGTATATAAAGAACTTCTTTGTAGTGTATAAAATGGAATATAATTATTTTGTGGTAGGATTAAATAATTTAGCTGGTCAGAGTTTTTACCGTTTTCCAGATTATTAGAAACGTTGCTGTGTTTTGTGTAAAATGGTGTGGTCCCATGTGTAACACAATTTGTGGCGTGATTAGAAACAGTCGATAAATTTGTTGTTCTCTTTGGACAAAATGATTTTAATACAGCTGTACTTGTAAGCACTGATGAATTAGAATAAATATCATGTGTTTCATGTGGGGATGAATATGTTGTCGATGTGTTTAGCAGTTTATTAGGACAAACATTTGAGTGTAGAGTATATCCCGTGGGTGAATAATGTTCACCATTGTGTTTTATATTATCATTTCGCTTATTTTCATTCATATCGCTTGTCTTGTAATTTTCATTCATATTTCAATCTACTTAAATTATTGATACAAAAGGTACAAAGTATGTATTGACATGAAAAAGAAATTAGTCCAAGTTATTTTCAGTCACCTAACCATTGTGCATTTATAGCTGTTCTCTGAAGTTGACCTAATCTAGTTGTAAAATTAATTTTTACTAGATAATAATGGTACAACAAATAGACTATGAAGTAACCAATCAGAGCTGTGTAATGAAATTTATAGATTTAAACAAATAATAATAAGAAATGTTTAATGCAGATTACCAAAGACTGAAAGTTATGATAATATTATTTCTATTAAATTTTTATTGAAAAATCTATTCTGAACGAGAAATATACTGTAAGTTATATGTTGATATAGATGTTTGATTGTTACTTCTTGTTGGTTAGAACAAATAGCACCTATATTTAAAAAATGCAAATTAACTGTTGAAAATTGATAATAATAATATTTTTGAATCTTGAATCTAATACGCTTATGACTCTAATAACTGAGACTAGATGATATTTAATCGGTTCCAAATGTGACAAACCTGACTATTTTCAGATAAAATTTCACATAAAATTCAGTATAACTAATGATTTATCGAGTGCTCATACTTGGAATAAAAATCTAATTCTGGATATAGTTCTCAGTTTAGTTATTACTCATGAGCAGCATGTACCGCAACCTTGATGGAACTAACACCTCTTGATATATTCAGTCTCATTCCACTCAGTTTCACAGTAATAGGAATTTACACTGAGCTCTCTGAGCTGTGACTAAACTCCTGTATGAATGAGATTTATTAGTGATTAAATGATCAGTGTGCAGTGACCAACTTAAATGATATCATTCAATCAGAACTAAGGAATTGACATACATGCAGTGATCGATCAACTGCAAATGCATTTCAGTTATACAGTAGTTTGGTTGAGGCTCTGATAACTCAGTGGTAACGCCTCTGAATTCAAAGCTGAATGACATAATACTGAATCAATTTGGAGGCCTCAGTTTTCTCAATATTACAGTATACCTTGTTGATGAGTAACGAGCAACACGAAAACTCAATCCAAGATTTCTTATCGACTAAATTGAATCATACAAACAATAACATGACGTAATCTACTGAAATCTTAATGTGCCGCAATGTCAACAAATGCATCTACGTTTTTAATTCACAAGTTATTTCATATTGAAATGTTTTCGAAATGTTATTTAACTAAGTTATAATATTTTGTTATAAATGCGTACAAATCACTTGATTATGTAGAAAAGGCGAGTAATTCAAGTAGTTGTATTATTTTCAAGATCCAATTGCTGTATACACCTTCGTTTTCAGTTAAAAAATCGTTGATAAAAGTTTGAATCATCATTGGATATATGTTGACTTTTTTTAAGTATTATAAAGGTAAGAGAGATTATATGTCCACTTTGTGGGCGTTTATCAGTCTGATTATTTCAACTAAGCGCAAAAATTGATTGAGGGCAAAAACCAATAGAGTAAAGCAGTATCAAAATGTTTTAAACTTAACCAAAACACAATTATTATCAGCTATAAATTAGATCTATGTATGCAGCCTCTGAATAAATAAAATGGGTTTTCTTACATCTTACTTATGGGTGGAATGAAGGCCTTTCCTTTTAAAGACCGATATAATTTATTAGACTGTTTACTCTGTTATCTTAGTCAGCAAAGTACAAATTATATGTTCTATTTAACAAAAAGTCTGTGATAAGAAAGCCAATTCTGTATTTTTCTTAGCATTTAAATAAACAGCCACCTGAGATCTGTTCTATACCGGAAATGATAACAAATGTTCATTACAATTAAAATTTATACACAAACTGCAATCAGTTAGTCATATTACGTTCACTGATGATATCTTTCGAAACTTTCTAAGCCTCACTTACATCAATTACTAAAGGGGAATTTTATTTACTATTTCTATCATAATTCGTTCGCTTAGTATACACAATAATCTTTATTATATAAACACGACGTAAGATACAACGGATACGTGTGAATTATTTTTAATTTGTTGAGATGTTCAGTATTAAATTCATTATTAAATAAACTCCTTATAAATATTCCTTTTAAAGAAAATATAGTTTACATTAGAAAATATGTTCACAAAAAAAGTTTTAAATTAAAGTTGATTTGAAAATTCTACGTACGATGTAAGCTGCATTCAAGTTAGTAGAAGTCTGGTTAAATTGGTTATAGTAAACAAAACAAATCTTATAGGTAACTTTCTAACAGCAATAAGTTGAATCATACTAAAATAATTTTATTTGATCTGGAGTAATCAAGCTTCATTTTTTCGTCAATATGTATAAATTCGGACACAATGAATTAATTAAATAATGTTTGGTAGTACGTGGCCAAATGTTTGATATTATTGAATACTTAGATATTACATTATTAACTGTTTGATTTGATCAGACAAATTTCTAATCAGCGCAATAAATCTTTGTGTCACAGAAATAAAAACTAAACGAAAACAATAACAAGTCACTCATAAAATGAAGATAACAGTCATATAAATCAGAAAGTTTTTTTAACGTAAAAACCTATACACAAAATAGAAAAATTATTCTGTCTACAGTAGTTTCATAGTGAGTAAACACCAATTCTGAGAATAAATAGTCATCAAATAATGCTGAAATTTTCTCAGGACTGTGATGAAAAATAACATAAAACGCCAATTTATTTGAAAGATGTTTTCTCTAAAAAAGAAAGATTGTGCAAATATCTTTGTGTAAATCCCTACCTTTTGTATGATAATAGTTTACAAATGTATTGCATATGTATAAAGTTCTAAATGAGAACATGGACTTTACAGAGTAATGTTTTTAGTACAGATGAAAAATGCTAATGCCAAACATTATTCCTAACCCTTATTATAAGGCAAATGAAAATAAAGCCTTAGTTAAAGGTTAGCTAAATAAGTGATTGTATTTGTTTACAAACAGACAAGAATTTGCGGTTATGACTGGAAGTTCAAAACAAAATTTTTTATTTCACTAAGGTTAGCTTCAAGTAGACTATATTAAAATGTGTAGAATAATGAATTTGTCCTTACCAAAAAATTAGTCATTCAATATGAAGAAGGCTATAATCACTGTAATTGTATCACTAAAAATCACAATGATAATCGGTTCCCATTTAGGGGAATAAACTATTGTTAAAACTAAGTCAGACTATATTCTTTTTATTGTCAATAGATTCAAAGCTTTCATAAAGCGCAAACTCGGTCTTTGTATTTTTGTAAATCTGCTTAAAGCCGAAATATTTATTCCAGATCGTGTTAATACTTAATGATACACTGGCGTAATGCAAGCTAGTTATTAGATCTTGATATTTACGCGATAAATTATCCTTTCTTTCGACGATACATTTATTTACGATAAATAAAAATAAATCTTTTGGCTGACAACAAAAAAACTGATTATTTAGACAGTTAAATAAGATAAATTAGTTAAAATCTGATAGGAACGTTTCTTCATTTATCAGTTTTCGACTGAATAATTTAGTGATTCTGATTTTAATTTTTAACTATCAACTATCATTTTAATTTATGGTAATTTTTAAAAGAAATATAGTTTCGTTACTATTAATTTAGTGCATTCATTTTTCATTGTATAATTCATTATATACACTTGAACAAATCAATATCAGACAATGTAGTGATGCATATCATTTGGATAATTATTATATCATATAAAATAAACTCTTTTGAATATGTAACCGATACAGAACCACTAGACAGATAATATAAAACTAAGTACTGTTTGATTGAGAACTCAAAGTGAAATGTACGAAATCTCTGGATGAAATTGATGCTTATTCTTAAAACTATGAGATCATGAATACAAGTATTTGAATCATTTTACGGCTCCTTATAACTATACTTCAAAAAAAACATTAGTAGTTAAAAATTTCTCTAGTGATTTACGAAAACCGTATTAAAATTGTATTATTTATAAACGATGAAATGATTTATCATAGTTGAAAAAAGGTATGTCGAAAAATCAGCTATACACAGTGTAACAGTTTACACTCATCATTAACACCGTTTAACTATTATTATTGAATAAGCAATGTTCAAAAGAATTTTCTCTCTGATCGTTGACATAATAATGCAGTTTGTTCTAAATAAATTATCAGACAATGAGATAGGAAAAACGAAAACTGTCATTAGATGATGGATGATCAGTTATTGTAAATTTGTTTTCAGCTGCAATCAAAAAACACAACGTTAACGTTTATGAAAGTTGAAATATATGCTAAGAATAACCAAATACCTTCATGTTTGTATCTATTTATTGATACTTAATATTAACTAGTTCCAAAAGTATGTCAAACGGTTGTTGTTCATTGACTCCAACAAATTAACAGCATAAAATCTTAATTCTTTTTAAAAGACATAATTTATTGGTAAATAACTCGTTATTAACACAATCGTAGGAAATAAAGTAAGAAATGCTTTGGATTATTCCACTGGTTAACAGCTTGCAGAAATTGAACTGAATTGCTGCAGTTAAATTAAAGTGTGCTACGTCGATTAATATCAGTGATATTTTTATTGATATTATTTCAGTAAAACAGTATGAGAAACTTAACAGAAATGACGAATTCTGAAATATCATGATTATTCTTTTCAGAATCGTGAATAAAAAATACGAGAAATGCTAGTATGCGTTTACCTGAACAACTAATGCGTAATACAACTATTTACAATTTTTATCAATTAGTATTTCATTTTGCTTTTGCAACAGAGAGACCAATTTTTCAACAATCGATTCTTAAAAAATAGGGAAAGAAATCTCTACTGAACCATGTGGTTTGGCTCATTGAAATTAATCGTACAAACTGGTATGAAAATATTTGCTTATTATTCAAAATGTTATCCATTTTATCAATTTCCAGTCTCTTAAATCAGAGAAAATAAACCTATTTACGTTCTACATGTTTGTGTTTTACTGTAATTGAAGCCTACAAACAATATTTCAACTTTG